ATTTTGTTGAAAATTCAGCATGAAAATAATTTTCTACCTACCAGTGAATACCGACAAGCCAAAGTTCGTCGATTTCTTGGTATTTGTTTGTACGACTGCTGCATTTATCGCACAAATTTCGTCTTCCTAAACGAGACGCCATCTTGCCTCCGGTCGTTCCGAGTTACGCGAGCCAATCAAAACGCGTGAAAATTGCCATTCACTGATTTGGTAAATACTAAGTGGTGGTATACAACTATTTCGAGAAAGGTTGTCAGAAAAAAGGTGCACATGACAAACCCGAAATGTGATATGAGATATGATTAATACACTGTTTCCGACACTGTTGCTGTCAAACCTGTTGCTTTCCTCTAGCAATCGCAAATTTTCGTCCGTGGCCTCTCGTGCACTTCTCTCAAATTTCTTTGAAGAACAGTGAACTCAAAACCACCCATAATACCTTTCGGGATTGTCGCGCGCACTTTTCCGAACATTAAAACCTTTCTAGAAATGGCTGTATTCGCCGAAAACATATTAGTTTTGCGGAGTTTATAACAGTTATTGGAATAAATGCCTCTCTTTTAACACCTCCTATCTATTAACCCTTTAAGCCCTAAGAGTGATCAGCATCAAATTCCTCCTTGTAATATCAATGCTTTGTAAAACAGAGGGTCATGAGAATTTAGGACATGATCACACAGAATGTATTTACTTGATATTTTATCAACTTCTTCTCACTATTTCTATAGTAAATGAATAGGGGCGACAAAAGAGAATTTTAATTTTGATCCTATAGGGTTTAAAGGGTTAAACGCACCCGCTTGGGCTTCCAAATTTGAATCGACAGCCCGGGCGTTTAATAGATCATCATGACGGTGCATAATGATAGCACTACAGGAAACTTCTGCCCCAAAACGTTTACTTTGAATAGGTGAACGCAATATAACATACAAAAATTCACACTACAAAGCTACAAAGAATTACCCTATACACCGCAACTGATAAACAGAAGAAAGTGCCTGCCCAGTAGCTTAATGAGAATGGTCACACAGACTAAATTTCATCCCCACCGAATCGTAGAGGATATCAAAGTAACTTTTAAGGGATAAACAAAAAATATAGTTCATCCTTTTAATGAAGTAAAGAGAGCAATAAAAAGCCCTTTAGTCTTTTATGGTTCAGGTTACGATTTCCTAGCTTTCACCATTCTGGGGGGTAATCCGCACACATCCCCATTTGTCCCAACTGGAGTACAAGTTGAGCCGGAACTTGATTTTCTCTTTCGTTATTTCGAAGCCATCTGAGCCTTCCTTAAACTGTTCGCAAGAGCTCTTACGTTTCTATGAATCCGAGATAAGTGAATAAACCATTGACTCCAGTTTATTGAATTAGTACCGAAAATATAATGCGTTTATAAGTACGGTACAAGAGTAAAACAAAATTAAGAGGCGAGATGTTGTACCCATAATAGCTTTACTTACGTTTCCCAAAAGTAGTCAAGAGATATTACTAGATTGCACGTTTTGCGTGTTGTTTTTGTTAATGTTTTTTTTTTTTTTTAAGTCAAACGGCTGCAGCCTTTGGCAGGCTTCTAAGATGTCTTTAATTATAATGAAAATCCCTAATCTAAAGGTTCTTACCCAAAGGTACTTATAATAAAAAATGAGTGCATTTTCGACACAACAAGCTGTCATTTTTTAAAATATTTATTTTTCAAGGATATAATCTATTAAATTAACAACAAGACTACATAATAACATTAATAATAATAATAACAGTAATCGGACTTGGTCAGGTTTAAAACAAAAGAATTTTTATCTCAGACAATGACCGCCCAAGTAGTTTTCAATCTCGTGTTCCTCTACACGGAAACTTTGCTGATTGCAGAAAATGTCGTAGCTGTGTACTCCGATTCTTTATTTGCGTCATTAGGCCAGCAAACTTCTAACATGGAGACGAAAGGGAAATTTCGAAGAGTTCTCAAAAAAAGAAATGTCCAGTTTTATAGTTGTAGAATTTGTATGAAGGTATTTGGTATCGTAAACGATTGAACTACGATGGACAAAGGTGTCCGTGATATAGTGATAGAAGTAATAAGTACGCACTACTATATGATCAGCCAACAGATATCCAAATGAGCAAAAAAAAAGCAGCCCAAGGCTGCCCAAGGCTGATACTAGGGCGGAAAAATACTTTTGCAAGACATCGACTTGACACATGAACATGAGTCGTTTGGACTCGCCAGTTGCAGTTTACCCATGTAGACCCTCTCTTAGATAACCCCGGGGGGGGGACTCCGCATTTGAAAGGGGTGAGGATGCTCGTCGGAAATTTTGAATTAAACCCCTAAAAGAGACCGATCTGGGCGTGGCCCAAGCTTTTTTTTTACCCCTAAAAGAGACCATGTTAAAACACAGACAATATATATTTTTTTATATTTTTTCGCGTGCAACCCTAAACAAGACCTTTACGGCTAAATATGATAGCGTTTTGCCCAGAACACCCTAAGTGAGACCAAAAT